AATCCACTTTTGGTAGAAATGGTATTCTGATGTTATATGTTCGATATTATAGCTCCAGATTAGGAAAAATGACAGAGGAATTTCTTACAGCGGAACTGTTACAAATGTACACTACAGGTGAACACTTATTTAATTGTTTTGAAAATTTTCTACAACAAAATGAAATTCCTAAAATTAATATTACTGCTGCATCTTTTGATGATGAACTATCAATAAGAAGAAAATATCGAGGATTTTCAGTATTTTTTTTTTTTTTTTTTTTTTTTTTAAGAGTTCTTGATATTCTGACACCATTGCATTTTGCATCAGCAACACGTTATTGTCAAAAATCTGCCTAAAAATCATAATGCTGTTTAGCACTTAAGTATTAATGCAATAAACACAATTAAAGCCAAGACTTTGAATGATCATCTTTTTGCTCAATTATGCGAAAGTAAAAAAGAATTTTATAATAATTTAAAAGAAGTTCATTAGTTGTTTAAAGGCTGTTTTATTGAAACCCTTAATATTGTAACCGAGTCCCTTTTGGAAATTGATAAACCTATGGCAACAAAATTAACTAAATCAAAAAAGTGTACATAAGTTGTAGGATTCAAATATTCCCGGACCAAGACTATAGTGCGATTATGAGAATGTTTTTGTGTTACTACGCTCTCCCCCTTTTCTAAAAGTGGTTTGTCCCAAATCACGAGGTCGAAAGCTCGCAGCGACAGCGTTTTTTTTAGGCAGGTGCATTTAGTAACCAGCAATAAAAAGAAATAGCATCAGTTGAGCACATAATCAAAATCAAATTTCGTGTTCGCTTGGGAAAGAGCACTTCGGAGACTTTCAAAATGTTGAAGCATGTGTATGGAAGTTAAAGATTATTGACAACACAAGCTTCTGAGCGGCATCGTCGTTTCAGAGAAGGCAGGAAAAGTGCTGAAGACGACGAACGTTTTGGCCGTCCAGTGACTTCGCACATTGATAAACACATCAAAAAGCTGTCTGCGGCGGTACATGCAAACAGGCAGGAAACAATTTGCCAAACCGCAGAATCAGTTGGGATATCAGATTGCATATGTCAGCGGATACTAAGGATCTTAACATGCATAGGGTGTGTCGACACATCACCCCCCCTCCCCCGCATGTTAAAAGTAGACCAAAAGAGAATTCGAATGGAAATGGCAGGAGACTTAATCTCAGCAGTTGACAAAGATCCTTTCCTACTTGGCAGAATTATTACTGGAGATGAGGAATGGAGTTTTTTGTACAACCTGCAAACCAAAAGTGCATCGGCAACATGGAAATCAGCACAATCTTTACCGAAGCAAAAATTCTGCCAAAATCGCTCTACATGCTAGAGATATTCTTTGATATCCAGGGCATTGTACATCTGGAATTTAGCCCTGAAGGATGCACTGTGAACAAAGAACTCTATGTCGAAATCCTGCATTGTTTGCACGAGTCGATCTGGAAGAAGAGACCAAAAATGTGGGCTGAGCAGTCATGGGTGCTGTTGCATGACAATGCTCCTGCTCACCGATCCTTACTCGTTAGTGACTTTTCCGAAAACAAAAACAACTGTTTTCCCTCATCCTCTTTACTCACCTGATCTCGAACCCTACGATTTCTTCCCATTTCCTGAACTGTCAAGATGCTTGCAGGGTCGTCGGTTTCAATCTTCAGATGAAGTTAAATGTGCATCGCAGGCTGAATTAAAGGACACAGCCAAAAATAGGTTCCAGACATACTTCGATGAACTTTACAGGCGCTGGCAAAAGTGTTTGTTGCACAAGGGTCTTATTTTGACGAAGGATGCGGTTCTGCAATTTAATTCATAATATTTTTTGCGTTATAGACTCAGTTCAGGAACTTTTGAAGCCTACCTCGTATATTTTTAGGATACATATTTGCTTTATTTAATAATGTGAAAAATGAATTACAAGGAAAAACATGAATCTCATTCAAACTCTAACAGTTATATCCTGGGTTTCACTCCAATGGATTTTGTTAAGGATAAGAATGGTGATGACATTCAGATCTACACTGATCACTTGAAACAATAAAAGAAGATATCAATGACTGTTATAAAGATTTTAGAAAGGTTAGATATCCCATATCAGATTATAAATCATTTGAAAGCTATACAATCAATACTGATTCTTTGTTAATAGTGGAATTAATTGAACTGAAGGAGAATTAAGAAGACAAAATGAATTTTCAAACAAATGGTTATGCGAAATTTTGGAATTGCAAGTATATTCACAAAAAATAATCCAATTAACCCATATTACCAAAACATTATTTTCAGCTTTTTCTAGTTCTTACTTGGCTGAGGCAAGGTTTAGTCACATTAGTATCACATCTTAACAATTTGTTAAGAAAACATAGAAATTGATTAAATAATAGAAAATGTTACATTTTAACAATTTGTTAAGAAAAAATAGAAATTGATAAAATAATAGAAAATGTTCTCATTAATTTTACACCTAATATAAAAACTATTATAGAAAAGCATCCACCACAGCTATCGTACTGAATCTTTAAAAAAAAAAAAAAAATTAGTAAAAGAACTTGTACATCATGTAGATTTAGACCAAACAGGTCCGTTTTCATTAGGAGCAAAGAAATTTGTAAGACTAGGAACAGCTGGGAATTTAAGAATAATTTTGACTTTGTGTCCGAAAAAATTATCCAAACAGCTTCTTCCATTGGTGAATTAGATTTTCTTGTAATTTTTCACATTCATAAAAAATTAAGCTTGTTTAGTTAATGACTTTAAGTCAAATCCTGTCCTTCCTAATGCTTTTAAAATTTTATTAACTTAATTTTTCAATTTTTGTTACTAATTTTGCCAATGGATGGCACTACCTTCTCGTTCCACTTTACAGCAATTAGTATAAACAGGATCTTTATGCCAGCTGCAAATTTCTTCGCTTCTGATGAAGAGGGTCCTATTTAGTAAAATATATATTTATATTACTTGCTCTCAAAATAGATTGAGTTTTTTGTCTAAATCTACACCAAATACAAGATTGTTTCTTTACTAATTTTAAAGACAATGATAAATTTCTGTCAAACATTAAAAAAAATTGTATCAATGCATCAAGCTCAACCACCTTATTAACTGAAATTGAGGTTTCGTGCAATTACAATTTGTGCTTCTTAATAAAAGCACAAATTGTAATTGCATACTTATATTTGTAAAATTACAAAAGAAAATAGTACAAAAATAATAAAACCTAATGACACACCTTTTTTTTATCATATTCTTAGTCAAATTGTTATTTAAGTTCTTTATTCGAAATTAGGAAAAATGTGAAGGGGTCGATGCACAAAATAATTTTTTTTAAAGGCGTCGATGTAGGTAAAAGGATAGGAACCCCAGCTTTGGTTAATGTTTGAGGCATTAACAGGTTATACTGTTAAACTATGGCCACCAGAAAGAGTCAGAAAAAAAAAATTCCATACATTTGTGTGTATACATATTCATTACATATATTCATTCATATACATATTCATTTATTAAGCTGCAAATAAAACTGTATCAAGTAAAATACATAGAATTTTCGGTACTTTTCCGTTTTGCCAGCACAAATGATAAAGTAACCAATAATGGTACACTGATGCCAAATAAAAACCGGAATATCTTCGCTGGTAACCGTTTACGCTTCATTTTCAAAACATGTTGCAGCCATTTCTTATCAGATTGATTGTTTCTTTCAATATTGTCATGCAATTACATAGAATTTTTACGAGATACTTAAATTTTATTCCCTAAGACCATTCGTTGTAATTAAGTCAATTAAGATGCAATCACACAGCTCACCCTAAGGCGAAAATATAAAAAAGGCAATGTCAAGAGTTAAATTCATCAATTCTAATGAGAATACACTAGCGAAGTAAAGCATTGAAGTTTTACATAGTTTCTGAGAGATTTAACTTGATATTAATATAGATAATTACTGAGAGAATTATATTTTTGTAGCGTAGTTTATGTGAGATGAGTTCATTTGGGGTCACATAATATGAACCAGCGAATTAGGATGTTGAAACATGAACATGAAAGCATAGTAAATTCTTAAATTAATGTCTTTTTACAAATTTGTCTTTTACAAAATTTTAAATGATATTAAAATGTTTATGCGTTCAAAATAAAAAAAATTTTTAGAACTAACATTTGTTAACATTTTTTATGTGTATACTGTATGTTGTTGCCAATAAAGTTTGCTTGGCGAGATTTGCGCCGACAAAACGGAAAAGTACCGAACTTTCTTAGATTTTTAATAATAAACACAATTTTCCGACATGCTTATATATGTTATTTTAAATAAATTGCTTATATAATTGTATTAAATACAATAACTACTGTATATATTCAAAAGTTCTGTCGAATTATGTTATTATTTTAAATAAATTGCTGACAAAATTGTATTAAATACTACAATAAAATTATTTTGCATTAAGTATGGGATGAATTTTAAACGTGTTATTTTTTTAAATAACATACAAATTTATATTAAATTCCTTCTATATTATGCATTAAATAACTTGTGTTGTACAGCTATTGAATGAATTGGCGATTTTTCATTTGCCATAGTTGATTTTGTTTTCATGGATGTTTACAACATTTGGTAATAAATCCCACTTTCTCAATCTCAATCTGCGCCAACACCATTCTCTGACACTAAGCCCGCTACGGAAAGAGAAGTACGTACCAAAATTTTTATAAAATGCTAAATTGTAAATAATGCTAAAGATAAAATATGTAAAATATAAATACTGTAAAACTGCTTATGGTGTCCATGCTTGAAAAATGACAAATATTTCCAAGAACAAATTAAATAAAAGTACTGAATTTAAAAAAACAGTATTTAATACCAAAATGCCACTTTGCAACCAGTTTCAAAGACAAATAAAAATGTTTGAACCATAAGTAGTCAATTTGAGAAGGTTCCACAGTGTACGTAAAATGTTATATTATCTAAAATCTTTTATAAAATATCTAGAAGACATACCAGGTTCTTTAAGACCAAGTACAATTCTTGAATCTCCCACATGTCCAGTATACAGCTTTCCTTTGCGGATGAAAGCTACACTTGCAGTTGTTCCAGCAGTGCTAGGAAGGCCTGAGGCTGTTTTTGGCCAATTATCTATGGAAATGATAACAATATGTAACTAAAGTTTTTATTTGAAATTGTTTTAAGATATTGTTAAAATAGGAATTAATATATTATACATATCATTAAATGGACAATCAGATGAACAAATATTTCTAGATTTAAACATTTTCAACTTTGATCAATAAATCATGTTAGTTATACTATAGTAACATCAATATGTATATTTTGCTTTGAGCTGAGTCGTTGAAATTTGCTCAAATTTAGAGTACGGCAATAATTGCATATTTATGAAACTGAGCTTGTTCTTTAATTTTTTTAAATATTATGAGAGCTCAATGCTATACACATTATCATATTATGTACTGTGTTAAATATGTTTTGATAGTAAAATACAAATAAAGAGAAAATACTTTTACACCAAGCTGCGAAGCTAATATTAGTTTTGTTCATTACCAGTCACACTTTAACAGGAATTTACAAAAATTATAAATCATGCACATATAGCAAGGCTCAGGTTAAATTTGAGTGCATCAGTTGTGCAAAACTAGGTGCAAAGAAGCTCACAATACCAGATTTACATATTTAATATGGAAATCAATATGTTAAAATTTTGGTAATATTTACCGAGACTACTGAGAAAGGCAGCATTTTTGGTTAGCCAGATTTTTATTTCAACAAGGCACAGTTTTCTAAAGTAACTGTTTCTAATCTACAGCAGTTTTATCTGCCATATTCAGACCTTTAATCACTTTCTCAATGATAAATAAGCCGAACTGCTTTAATAAATACAATTCAGCTCTTTTCAAACCAAATTTCTACTGCCATTCCTACTGTTGGTCCTCATTTTTTAGGATGCTGCATTTTTTTCTCACATATTTTCTCTAATGACACATAATATCATTATATATGAAATGTTATTTAACTATTAGCCGGTCAAATGTGAAACTGTCACCAAGCAGCACAATTTAGCACAAATTATGGATAAGCATGACGTCATAACACGCTCATAACATCTGCACTTTCGTTTAATGTAGTCTTGAGAGATTCTCAATAAGATACCTTCTGTTTTTATGAACAAGGCTATAAATTAACTTTTCTTGTGGAACTTTTTCTCCTTGCATTCTTTTTTTTTGGGGGGGGAATGGCAAGATTAAAATTTGAACATGCCTAGTGTTGTCTGAACAGTCTGAACAGCAAGCCACAATTAAAATTAATGTGCTGGGCCTCTTACACAAGCCATTCGCAAATTTTCATTTTAAATGAACTGTATTGATTAGCATAGGGCATTCAGGCAAATGCTCAGCGAGCTTAAGCATTAAGACAGCCCTGGACCTGACATTTACAAAACAGCTGTTTCAAACAAAAGAAACAAAATCAAAGTCATATTCAATCTATTATCAAAGAAAAGGTATGTTCAATATGATATAGAGTAAGTTGAGATAGCTGAGAAAATAGTAACAGATTGGAATAATTATCTGCGGTAAGTCTGTACTCATAGTATTTTCAAAATGTAACTTGCAGTAAAATCAGAAGGCCAAACAAAATAGTAGAAATCGACCAAACCTTGTTATGAAGCAGATCGAATACTGATTGCTTGTTAATTGTTATATATCTGAAAATTAATCATTTTATATATTTTTTAAACTTTAAACTTTGATTCATGGTGCCGGACAAAATACTCAAATATCAAATAATTCAAAACAAATCTAATTCATATTGCCATTCTTATAAACATTCGTATATCAAATCTATCAATCAATCGTATAACATATCGAACAATCAATCGTATAGTGGTATAGTACAATTTAACTTTTAGGTTTGCGTTGTGAGTAACCTATGCAAAAGGAAATATCAATAACTCCAAATTCAATTAAACTCCATGTTTCTTAAAAGCCTCCCGGCTCAAACAAATGGAGGGACATGACAGACCACAGTATATTACACAAGATAAATACACAAACGCACTTAAATTTTAAACACACATTTATTAAATTCTTGAATATATTATATTATTAGTAAATACTTGGGTAACTGATCAGTATCCCCTACCACATATTTTTACTATGAAAATATCGCATCTGTTACACAAAAATACAGCTTTCAACAATTAAAAGTTAACATTTTTTTTTTCCAAATTAAGTAGGTCTAACAAAATTTAATCCTCCAAATAACAGGTTCTCATTAATTAGAAGGTAATGTTTTCTAGCTCACAAAATTCAGTCGGTGAAACAAATTTTAATCCTCCTAAAACTGGCATTCACTTGAAATTATAAATAACTTCTCAATTTTACTAACTGTAATATTTAATTTATACAAGTAATAACAATATACAGGTAGATAAATCATTATTAACTGTTCTGCATTCGGGAAAACTAAGAGAGAGAGAGGGAAAATATACTTAAAAATTTCACTCACAGATGGAAAACAGTTTTTCCTGATAGCAGGATCCTTAGCGTCCAAACCACAGGGAAATGAGCAAAGCCCATTTTTCTTTCTGTCACAACCCTTTCAGAAGCGTCTAAAATTATTAAAAGTCACGAGTGGAAACTACAGTCTAATAATTCTTCAAACAGCCAGGAATCGCTTTAACTGTCCATTAGTTGGGAACCAATAGTCCAATTTAGAAGGATCTTTATTTCAATTCAATAACAAGATAGCTGAATATACACAAGTTTTAGAGCGATCACTTGTATCATCGAAAGCGGCGAATCAACATTTTATGCTGAATATTTCGGAAAAAGGCTCTTGGAGATAAACCTGCGATTTGGGTGAAGAGAGAAAATCTGTGCTAAATTTTCTTGGTAGATTGCTCTATATCACGCACTAAAGTATTAAACAGCTCTCAGTAAAATGCTCTTTGCAGCTAGTGCACGTTTCTCTAGACATCTCGCAGGAAAATGTTCCTTGCATCTCTCACACAAAACTTTTAAACAACTCACAGAAAAGAATGAATTCACTAGAGCAAAGGAAAATGCAACCCAAGTCCTCTTGCCCCGGCAACCGGCCGCACGGCAAAGCCGGCAGCAGGGCAAAACGCCCCTCGTTCGGGGTTTTTTTTTTTTTTTTTTTTTCCTTTCACATCGCCACTGCTCAAAGTCACCAACCGGCACTCGCGAGAACAAGACCCCACACTCTTTTTCTCATTTTTCCTTCTCTTAGCTCGAAAATCAGAATCAGAATAATCTCTAGCCTGGTGCAAGAACACAGGAAATCTCGGTTTCTGCGCCTCTGTGAGTTCATAGGCTTTCAAAAAATCATCAAATTAAATCTTACCAATGCCGGAATTTTACGTTATCTAAACTGAGAAAATGACATACCCATGACGAATCAAACACCAGAAAATCTGACAATGCAGTTCGAAAAACATCTGTACACATAATGTGAGAAAAAAGTAGGACCCCCCCCAACTAACAAGCAGAAAATAAGCTTTATGAGAATCCAATTACCTAAGCTTAGTACACGCCCAACTGTCTTAAAGTAAGCAAAAACTGCAACCTTAACAAAGCGACAGGAAGACGATTTCCGTTTCACACACATTAGCTAAAAGGCGACAACACACGCCCTACTGCCTCCATTGTTAGTAAAAAGGCTATAACCCAATAAACCAGATGTGTTTCCTTGCAACTGTCTCTCGCCTTTGTTACAATTCCTACTCAAGAAAAACAAGTCAAATAAAACCTTAAGAGCTTAAGAATACTTTTTCCAGATTAAAATACGCATGAATATAAATAAAAATATTAGAATAATAATGACTTGAAAATTAATAATTGAAATTCGCGACATAACATAATTAAAGAGATGTAAGTTTATTCAGAATTCTGCAAGAACGATTATTATGCATCAACAGGAAAACTGTTGCCATGCAATATGATTTTGCACCACTTACGGATAAGCATTACATCACAATACACTCATAATATCGGCGCTTTAGTTAGATGAAACCATGGATAAACAATGGCAATACAACATAAAAATTGTTACAAGAGAATATTCATTTGCAAAGAAACATGGTTTAAGGGCTGTAGAGTTGCATGTGACGACACTCCAATTGATTTACAGTTAATAAAACAGGCAAATCGATAAACTCGTATTTGGCATACATTTTATAAATTCCCAATCGATTTCGAGGGCAAAACGGATACCCCTTCATCACGGGCAAAAAATTCTGGAAAAGCAAGTGAATGTTGATCATACTTATACCCTACAGGCGACCAATGGAAGAGCCGATAGTGCCATCTGTCGGCAGAAATGATAACAAAAAATGAAGGGTTAAGTTAGTAGAATTTTAGAGGCATTAGGCAAGACTGTATTGGAATTAAAGTCACTGACTAAACACTATAAATTTTTTTGAACATGAAAATCCACTTCCCTAAGAGAACCAGCTTTCTGGATAATTTTAGCAGAACCAAAATCAAAATTTTGATTGAATTTCCAACTATGATTAGCTATCGAAGATTTGTTAATTTCGCCTTTTCGAGCGTAAGATTCATGTTCCTTTATGCAAAACTTTAATGTTCTTTTTGTTTGGCCAATATAACTTAAGCCACACTGACACGATATGCTATAAATTCCCCAAGAATTAAAGTCAGAAATAGAATCTTTAAAGAACCGAACCTCGGATTTTATTTATAGGCGAGAAAAGAACTTGAAAATTAAACTTGTGTAAAATCCATGCAATTTTGTAACTGATAAAATTATGAAATGCAAGAATAAGAAGGTTATTAATGTTGTTTTTAACAACAGAATGTGCTCTTAGATGGCACGATGAGAACTTTTGAACAGCTTTATCAATGACTACAGGACAAAATCCTCAGTCAAGTGCAACAAATCTCAAATAATTTGAGTTCATGGTTAATCTTTGGATTATGGTAACTTGGCATTTTTTTGGCAAAAATTTGGCGACCAACCCTGCTACAGCAACCTGCTAGTTTTGTTTTGGATGCCATTTTGTTTTCATGAAGTAAAGGTATGTTTGGTTGATCTTTGGATTATGGTAACTTGGTGATTTTTTGGCAAAAATTTGGCGATCA